CATAATTTCATAAAAAAAAAATTTGTTAAAATTTAAAGATTGTGAAAAAAAACTATAAAATTGATTATTGTGAATAATTTTTAAAAAATATTACAAAAAAATATCCACCCAAATTGTAAATTAAACCAACTCCAAAATAATCGATGTGTTGGAGATTAAACCAAAATGCTGACACGGAGCGATGTTGATGCACTTATTTTTTTCCCCTCAAAAAAAGTCATGTTTTAATAACTATATATTATGTTAATTTATTTATTTAATTATTTTATTATTTTATTATTATATATCTTTTATTTTTCTTATTGCATCTGAAATTTTCTTGTTTCTGTCTTTAATTTCTTTTGATGTTGTAAATCCTTTGGACTCTTCTTTATATTTATTTAGAATCATTAAAATTTGTTGGGTATTTGTAAGAAGGTTATATTGTCTTGATTTAATTCTAGGTTCACAATATTCTTCTGGGTTATCAGAGAGCAATAAGTTAACTAATTGACGCAACTCCACGAAATAACCAACCATATTTCTGCTTGTGGTTGTTGTTCTTTCTTTTTCGTTGGCTTTTTGTTTTACATAGCTTTCCATATATTTCAAATCTGCATCAAAACATTTTACACCATTTAAATTTAATTTTTTCAATTGTTCGCTGGTTATCAATGACTGTATTATATAAAATAGATTTTATTAAAAAAAAAAAATTTGGTTAACAAAATTAAAATGAAATAAAATTAATGTTATTTTATTTTGAAAAAAAAAATGAAAAAACTATTTAAAATTTGGGAGGTAAATTGTGATAATGAAGTTTTTTTTTTTTTTTGGGTTCCTGTTGGAAAAAGAAATGACATTAAATAAAAAATACAATATGTTTGTCGCATATTGGAATAAAAACAAGTTTATATTAAATTTTGTTTGTGAATAGCAACACGAGTAATATAATTTTTTTTTTACAACAAACATACAAGAAAAGATCAGATCAAATCTTTTCAAAAAGTAAAGAGCATTAAGGAATTATTGTAATTATTTTAAAAAATTTTTTAAAAAAACAAAATAAAAAATATTTGTCTGAAAAGAAAAAAAAACGGTGTCAAAAAAGCTGGTGTCCAAAAAAAATTATGACAAAATAAAAAAGAAAAGGGTGTTGATATATTTTTTTGCTGGATATTTTCGTTGAGATAAAATAATTTTTTTTTTTTTTTTTATAAAAATATTTGTGCCAAAAAATCAACATTTAAAAAAAATAATAAATAAAAATTCTACTTACATATAAAGATTCAGAAACAATCTTGAAAGCTTTAGTAATAAACTCTTCTTTTAAATTTTGAGATAAAGGTGAAATAAAAGGAAGGGTAACTTCAAGGAAAGTGCATACATCTATTATATAATCTCTTGGGCGATCATCACTTGCCATTGGAAACCAATCAATATTATCAGCAGATGACATTAAATCGATAATTTTTCTTTCACACAATTTGATAATTAATTTCTCGCCATGGCTTTTGGTTGTGTAAAGTAAATTTTGACTTGAAAGGATTACTTTATTGGTTTCGTTTGTGATTGAAAGGTTCTTTTGATAGTCTTCACCTAAAATTAAAGAATTCAAATAATCTTTAAAGAATGAACAGGCAGATAGTAAATGTTGTAAATTGATTACTAATTGAATTACTTGTGGTACAGCTTGACTTTGTGTTATAAATGAATATAAAACTTCATTAATTTTCTTAATTAAAATATCAGTTGATCTAATAATAAAGTTTTCATTTTCTGTTAATTGATCTGCAAATTCATAAAATTCTGAAATAAACTTTTTAATTAGAGCATAAAACTGTGGAACCATTTTTGAAAATAAAAATGATTTTGGTAATCTATAAAAATAAAAAAATTAGTATAAATAAAAAAAAATGATTTGGTTCATTTAAAAATTTTAAAATAAAAATATACATACTGTTTTATAATTTTTTCATCTCTTTCTTCTTCAGTATCAAATGAATTAATGTTATCATTACTATTACTATTGGTCATATTATTATTGTTATTATTATTAACATTATTATTATTAGATTCTTCTTGTTGTTGTAATTTTAATTGTAACTGTTGTTGTAATTCTAAAATATCTAATTTATTTGCTAAAATTAATGATTTATATTCTTCAAGACTTTCGACGATTAATGATGCATGTGATTCATTTTCTAAAATTTGGGTAAATCTATTTACAGCTTCGATAATTGAATAATGACAATACTTTTCTTTCATTGTATCTAAAAAGTAATAAAGTGGTTGAACGTGGTATGAATAAAATGACATTGTATTTGTAAAAATTAAAACAAATTTCTTGAATGCAATTAGTGGTAGAGTATCATGACAATCTGTAAAAAGTTCTTGTAATACTGATGTAACCTTAACTAGTGCTGAATTCCAATTCTCATTAATTGTGGTTTTCGATAAAAATGGTTGTGTGCTTTCTATTACTTTTGATTCAATCATAAAATAACCTAAAATTTGTTGTAAATAAGTTTCCCAAACTTGGCCACTGTCTTTTGGTTTGATAACATTGCTAAATTGTTTCTGATAATAAAATTATTAGAAATTTCTATTATTATTTTTTAAATATATAAAATTTAAATTTTATGAATTTACTTACTGATCTGTTTTCAGTATAATATGTTTGAAACTCTTCGATCATACCCAAGCTAGAGTAAATAAAAAGGCATTGATAAAGTGGGTGAAAATCAATATTTGCTTCGTCAAATGGCGAAAATTGATTGATATCGTTTTTGAGATCGTTTTCGTTTATTGATTTTGAAAATGGTGATGATTGTTGTTGTGTATCATTTAAAGATAATGAGCCAATTGGATTTTGGTTTTTATTGGTTATATTTAAAATACTATCCCAAATTTGTTCATTTTCTCCAAAAGTTGTTTTAATCTTTAATGGATTAATCTCACGTTCTTTCATTAGTTTTTTTGAAGTTTGAATCATACCAAGTTTACCAATAGTTGATGATTTTTCTTTAATATCAACCATCCATTCGTTAAAGTCGTCTCTAACCAATCTCTTGATTTTTTCTTTCATTATGGGTATGTTGTAGTCCATATTACGTGCAAATTGAAAATCTGATAGTCTTTTTAAATAAACATTGTGTAATTGATCCATATTTTTAATTGCTTGAAAGTATTTCTTGTTTGCTACATATTCGTCAATCTTCATACCCAATAAAATTACATATTGACAATTGTTTAAAATTTCTTTAGTCTTTTTAATGTTATCTTTGATTTGTTTGAATGCAAATAGTTCTTCTGCCTTGTTTACATATTTGTTACCAATTTCTTGTAGTTCATAGTTTAAGTTGATTACGTCTTGCTTTAAATCTAAATTATCACCTTTTAGACCAAGAAATGCTGTTACTGAATTGATGAAGCCTTCGTGATTCTCACCACAAATCTTTTCTATATCTAAATCTTTTTGAGCTATATAGTTGTTTAAAGTGGTGATAATTTCTTTTTCTTTATTATTTTCAAAGACTGATTTGATAGCTGGTCCTAAATGATCGGTATCAGAGACCGCAATTAAGAAAGATTCACTACTGAAAATTTCGCTTTGTGAAATTAATGTTTTTTGTTGTTGGTCTTGTTGTGATGATTGATCTATAGAGTAGATACCTTTTTTTTCACCAGCATTAAAAGTTCTTAAATTTTCAGTTGGTATGTTTTGTTCGTTTGCATTGCTGTTAGTACTTGAAGTTAAATCATCATCATCATCCAATTCTTCACGGCCACTAAGTGTGCTCGAGTCTATTGAACCTGCTCTACCTTTATTTTTTTTTAAATCTTTTTTTTCTTTCTTTTCTTTTTTCTTTAATTGTAATGCTTCTTTTTTATCTTGTCTTTTCTTTTCTTTTCTTTCTTTTTTCTCTTCCTTTGATTCCTTATCGCTTGTTTTCATTGACTTTAAAATTGCATTTGGATTACTATTTAAATCTTTTTTTGAGCTCATTTCTGAGTTGATTTAAATTTTATTTATTTTTAAAAATAAATAAAAGAAAAGAAAATATAATACTATAAATAAATGAATAAATAAATAAATAGATTATTAAGTGATTACTTTTTTTTTTTTTTTAAATATCTTAAACAATAAAAAAATAATTTAAAATAATTAAAAAATTAAAAAAAATAAAAAAAAATAATTTAAAAAAAAAAAAAAAAATTTTAAAAATTTTTGGAAAATAAAAAAAAATTATAATAAAACAAAATTTTGTGAACATTTCATTTTTTTAATTTTTTTTTTCCTTTATTTTAATTTACATTTTAAATTTTCTTTAATTATATACATAGTATACTATTTATATATATATTAAATAAAAAATTGTAAAATGTTTAAAAGTGTTAAAAAAATTTCAAATTTATCAAAAATTATAATAATAAATCAAAATAATATAAACTCTAGTGCCACTTTTTTAAATATTAATAATAATTTAAAATATTTAAATATTTTACATTATTCAAAAAATCATCATGATTTTACAAAAAGAAACTCATATACACACAAGCAAGATGCACGTGCTGCTAAAAGAAGAGAGGGTACCAGAGATTCAGAAGAGATGGGTGGTCAAGTTGTAGGACCAGGTGATATTGTCACTGAAACTAATAATCCAACCATTTCAAAACCAAATCATAAACATTCAAAACCAGTTACACACAAAAAGAAATTAGAGCGTTTAGACCACCACCATCAAAAAAAAATTGAAAGAGATTCAAAACAAAAAGAAGAACAGAGATTAGATTTGCTTGAAACACTTGAAAGAGAAAAAGAAAATGAAGAGAATCAATTCTTTAAAAAAACTCAAAAGCAAAGAGAAGAAAATGAAAAAGAAGAAAAAAAAGAAAAAGAAAAAAAAATCATTAGAAATAAAAGACAATCATCAAAGAAACAAAAAGCAGCACCAGCCAGTTTTGGGTATAGTTCAGATGAAGGTATCACCGAGTACAGTGAGTTTAAAGCCAATCTTTCAGAAGAAGTCGATACTGAAATTACCTTTGAAAAAGACCTTTCAATTTATGACAGTAAACATGGTATTACAACTAAAGAGTTTGATATCTCCCAAATCGATGAATCAAAGATTATTCAATTAGAAGATTTATCATTTGATGAGGATGAAGGAGTTGACATGGAAGATGAGAATGAAGAAACTTTAGTTTTAACAATGGAAGAAGCTCGTAAAAGATTCAATTTAAAAGATGAAGATTTTAATGTAATTCTTGATCAACTCAATATAGATGACTTTTTCAAAGTTATGGGAGATAAGAAAACTCCACAACAAGTACCAGATTTATCGGAATCATCATCAACATCATCATCAACAACATCCCCAAAAAAAAATCCAAGTGTAGCCGCTTTGAATGAACAACAAATAAAACCAAAACAACAAAATGAAACAAGTGAAGCAAATGAATACTTGAAGCAGCTTTTTAATAAAAAATATGGTTCAAAAGAAATTAACCAAAATCCAATTACAATTGAAGAGGTTTCAGAATTTTTAGGTAATTCACACTTGGATGATTTCTTTGTTGTTGATGTTTCAAATAAATGCAGTTGGACTAAATATTTGGTTGTCGCAAGTTCAGACTCTACTCGTTTGCTTCAAAATACTCAAGATGATTTAGTTGCCCACTTTAAAGATCGTGCTAATGTTGAAATAGACCCATCAAATACAAGTGATTGGTTGGTTGTAAATCTAAAGACTGTTGTAGTACATTTATTCGAAACACAAAAAAGAGAATATTATGACTTGGAAACTCTTTGGTCAACAAGAAGACATATCGATTATGGTAAAGAAGAAAGCTGGGATGATGAAAAGACCTCAAAACTTGAAGAAGATGATTAATTTTTTTAATAAACTTAATTAGGGTTAATAAATATACATATTGTTTATTATTTTATTTTTATAAGTAATAATAGGATACCCCTTTTTTTTATTTAAAATAATATTTATAAATTTAAATTATTTAAATATATTAAATCTAAATAACAAATAAAAAAACAAATAAATAAAAAAAAGTTCATAAACAAAAAATTTAAAAAAAAAAATTTTATTTTTTAGAAAACCATAAATTTTTTATTTATTCGAGAGGGTTTATACTCTTTTAATAAGTACTGAATATGGTCTAATATCAGTTTGATTAAGAGTGATCCAATATTGATCATCGTTTGGGTATAGTTTTTGTACCTTGATTAATGACTGTGGGTTTACTCTATTCTGAAAGATAACCAAATAATCATAATTTTGATATTTAAATTTGGTAGCGAACTTTTCGGCGCACTTTATAGATGGGCTTGAAAAAATACCATAGTTGTTTGGAATTTTTAAATTTGAAGTATTCTCTGAACCAATTTCAGATATTGTTTTACCTTTGTATAGACCTGTACCATGGTAGGATACTGGCCATTCCCCTGAAAGATTTTTATCTCCTAGCCATAGCCCCTTATCATTAGTATTGACTAATTCGCCAACATTAAATGCAAACTTCATCCACCCACATGGTCTTATATAATCTTCACCCCCTCTTTTGAATATTTGATTATCGATTACTTTTGTAAAATCACAGTTGAACTCTGTTGAAAAGTTTCTTTGGTCAAAAAAATATAAATTTTCCAAACTATTAGATGGATTAATAACAATATAAATTGTACTTTTATCTTGGATATTGTACTCGGAAACTAGGAGGTGATTTTCTAAGGTTTTGCCTAAATAAATTAATTTTTGAATGGAACTGTATATACGTTCTTTTTTTTCTATTTTTTTTTTTAAATCACCAATTGTTTCGTACGAGTTCATTTTTATTTCAAACCCTTTTCCTTCTAATGTTTTAATAAAAAGATTAAATTCTAAAATATTTGATTTTGAAAATTCTATTCCTGAACCACATCTACCGCTAGATAAACATATTTTTTGTAAATCATTAATACCAATTAATTGTTTTTTATCATCCTTACCAAATTTAATTGAAGAAACTGAGGATATTGCTTCTATTGATAAAATATTATTATCCATTTCTAATATTTGTTTTTTTTATTTTAAATTAATAAAAAAAAAAAAAAATTTATAACAATTTTTTATGAAACTTAATTTTTATGTAAACTTAATTTTTGGTTTCAAATATTTGAAAAAAAATAATTTAAAAATTTTTTTTTTTAAAAATAGGTTTAATAAAATATCTAATAAATAATTGAATTGATACTTCATAAAAGGAAAGAAAGGAATGAAGATTAAAATATTAAATAAATATTTATACAGAATTATTTTATAATCCAAAATTTTTTTTTTTTTTTTTTTAAAAGTGAAAATTCGAAAATGTTCTGCCACTGTGCTATCATTGCTCCCCTTTTAAAAAGTTAAGATCATTGCTCCCTCGAGCATAAACATCAATTGTTATGATAGTTTGTAATGAACAAGGATCATTACTCAATAATAATCAATATTAATTAATAATAATTAACAATTATTTTAATTCATCAAAAAAGAATTTTTAAAAAAATAAATTTTTTAAAAAAAATAAAAAAATAAAAATAATAAAAACTTTTTAGTTTTCGAATTTTACAAAAACATAAACATTTCATATAAATTTTATTTTATTTAATTATTTGATCTTAGTACCTTACAAGTTCTTTATTTATCAAAATCACCCAGAAGATAAATTTTATTTAAAAAGCTCCCCATTCGGGAATCGAACCCGAGGTACCAGTGTGAAAGACTAGAGTGTTACCGACTACACCAATGAGGAAATTGGATGAAATTTCTTTATTCGGGGAAACCAGGAGGACTTTACTTGAAAATAACCAGGAAGATAAATTTATTTTTTTAAATTATGAAATCACTCTATTTAGTTTGTAATCTTTATCCTCTTATTTATTTTTAAAATTAAACATGAACTAGATAAAATGAAATTATTTAGCTGTTCCTAAAAAGAATTTTAAAATGCAAGTGATGCAGTGTATTCAATTTCCCTATTTGAAAATAAAACTATTATGGATAAACCTTTTTTGTTTGACCAAAAAGGGAGTAATTAATAAATTAACATTAATTTTATTTTTTTTTTTTTTTTTTTTTTTTTTTTTTTTTTTGACAACGGTTGCTTTTTCTTTACATACTCTGTTTTTGAAAAAAATAAAGAATTAGTATAATTTTAAATGGTTAATATGATAATCTAAAATTCAATAAATTACCTTTGGAGGAGGTACAAGTAAATTGGCAATGAGAAGACCCATGGTTAAACTAATAGCAATAAAGAACATACCAGTAAAGAAACTGGTGCCACCTTCGAGATCACCATTTGAAATTGCAAACATACCTTTGACACCCATTGAACCTGGAACCAGTAAAATAATACCAGAGAAAATACTGCAAATAGGACTAACATTTGAGAATCTAGAATAAAGATTACCACAAACGCAAATTGCAAAAGCACCAAAGAATGAACCAACATCACCAAAATACTCTGTAGTATAATTACCAAAAGCTACACCTATACATGATGATACAACAATTACCCAGTATTGTCTGGGATGAACGTTGAGTTGGGAAGAGAATGATATAGCAGCAGGTATAATAACACACCAAATACTCCAAGAGGGGAACGAATTTGGCGCTATTTCATCACGAAGCGGGAAAATCTGTGCAGAAACTTTTGTTCCTAAAACTACACCAAATGTTAACTGTAGCAGACAAGCAAATACCCCCACTAGACGTGATATACCAGAGACCAGATTTCTTGTAGAAATTTCCGCAATTGATACTGTTAAAGATAGACCAGGCGCCAGGGCTATAATACCACCCAGCGTTACGATAAAAATAGGAACTGGATAAATATACGCATTGAAAATCGACGCTATAAAAGAACCTCCAGCAGCGGAAAGAGCCTCTAAAACTCTACCTACTGTTGAGAACTTTGAAGATAATAAAGAAAGTAACCCTACATATAGACCGATAATTGAACAACCACCAACCTCATACCATCCGGCATTAAAAAAGAATGCAATTGTAAAGGATGATATAACATAACTTAAAACACTTAGATAAATGTTATAGATTGGTTTTTTTAAAAGAATTTCCCTTAATCTGGTAAGACCATCGTTACAATTTGCTTTACCATAAATAATTTCATCGGCCAAGTCTTCTAATTGAATCATACGTTCCATATTATAGCTAGTTGAATTAATTCTTAAGAAATGAGTATATGGTGAAAGAATTGAATGTGGAGAACCAAAAGAAAAGAAAATACCTGTTGGTGTTGAAAAAAAGTGACCATCTATACCAAAAGTGCCACTGATTAAGGTTAATTCGTATTCTAATCTATTGGATGGCACACCAGACATTAATAAAGCTCTACCCAACTCCATAAGAAATGGTACCACTTTTGCCTCTGTTTGCTCTGCATCTACAATATGTACCGGTACAGTCATATCTGGTGCTAAAATATTCTTTACTGATTTTTTAAACTTTTGCATCTTTTCTTTGTTAAATTTGGATCGAAGTTTTGGTATCTTCATAGTACCACCTACAGGAACGATTGGTAATGGTAATTGAGGAGAAGATGGTAATTTTTCGAGATCGCCACTATAAACACCACTAAAATCTCCTCCACTAAAGTTACCTCCAACACTAACTGTCTTTTTGGTTGTATTGTCATCTCCAAATTCGTCTTCTTCTTCGTCGCCCACGATTAAAATATTTCCATCGTTATTTACAATTGAGGCATGTGCATTATTGAGCTCATTAATTGAATCTCTATATTTATTCAAATCACGTAATGGGATTGAAATTGATTTACGTCTACTATGGCCGCTACTGCTTTGACTAAAAGTTGGTGAAACTTGCACTGTACTCTCTACCTCTGATATATCACCTGCTTCTTTAACTTTATCTTCTAAATTATGGTTATAAAATACACCGAATCTATTAATTGCATTACTTGAATTGATTCTATTGTTATCGATATTGCTATTTGAACCAAACAATTCGTTCATTTCTATATCTGTTGAGCCTTTTCTATTATCATCTTCATTTTCTTTTGGAGGCTCTTGAATTTTAACAGAGTGTGGCACTGGATGTTCTTGCTCCTCGATATCTTGAAATGGTTGGAATGATTGGTGAAATCTTCTTCTATTACCAGCACCAGATGATGGAGAGATGGGCTCTTGTTTGGGTGATACTAAAAGTGGTGATGTGGGTTGGTGCTCTTGTGGTGATGGTGATGGCAACGGCGATTTTTGCAGTGAGGTTAGGTTGTTGTGCATTTGTTGTAAACTTGCTAAATTTTGAATCAAAGTTTGCATTTGTAGTTGTAAATTATTGGATTGTTCAATTAATGATTGAACATTATCATTATTTTTATTAATTTCACTGTTTGGTAATTCATGATTTGCATGTACTTCAGTGATTGTTGGTGAAGCTACAGTTTTAATCGGTGCGTCATTGATATGTTCGCCTGGTACTGCAACAACATTTGATGTGGCTGATAAAACTGGTGGTGATACAGGACCTCTAGGAATTGATCTGGTACTTGTTAAATCTCTTTGTATTGATCTGGTACTTGTTAAATCTCTTTGTATTGATCTGGTACTTGTTAAATTACTTTGAACATCACTTGAACCAAAAGGTCTTAATTCACTGCAATTTAAAACACTACCATTTAATGGATTATAATTACCACTGTTAATTCCTCCACCACTTATTAGATTGCTTAAATTCGATGTTGAGAGTTGTTGTTGAGATGGATGAACATTTGGTGGTGGTATCAAAGCTGATGGTAAACTAAGAGGGTTAACTAAATTATTTTGAATATATTGTGACTGTTTTAATACATTTGGTAATGGTCCTACTGCTGCTGGGCTATCTTTTAAATGACTTGGCAACTCGATATCATTGCTTCCATAATCATTTGGATAATTTCCTTTATTAATTTGATCCTCTATATCTACATAATCATCATCTTTTTTGTGTGGATGATTCTTCCTGTAATCTGTCTATTTTTAATAAAATATAATTAAAATTTGGGTGTTTAAATTTAAAAAATAAAAAAAAATCAGTATTTAAATTATTTTTTAAGTTTTATAAATAAAAATAAAAATAAAATATTTTTATCTATTTCGTAACATTGTTTTTATTTTTAGTTTTTTTATTTTTTTATTTTTTTTTGGTTTTTGTTGAATTATTTTTAATATAAATAACTTACCAATGGAACCTTAATTCTATCAAAGAAATTATACATTGTTGATAAATAGTGTTATGTATATTTTAATGAATTAAAATGAATAAATATGTGTTTTTTAATTTTATCTAAAATTAAAAATTATTTTTTTTTTTTCTTTTTTTAAATTTATTTTAGAGTGGAATTCCCTAGTCCAACATTTAGCAAAATATATATATATATAAAAATAAATATTTTTATTAATTATAGAATAATTAATATCTCTAAATCAATATATGTTCAATTTAAAAAAAAAAAAAATAAAAAAAAAATAATTATTGTTTAAAAAATAAAAAAAATAAAAAAAATAAAATAAAATAAAAATAATTTATTAATAAATTTAAAAAAAAAAATTATTTTAAAAAAAAAAAAAAAAAAAACTAAATTATTTTTTAAAATAATATAATATAATCTAAAAGCATTTTTATGATAACTAAATGAAAATTTTCAAATTATCATAATAATCTGTAGTGAAAGAAATACAAAAGCTGGACAATTGCACTGCACCACACACACACTCGAAAAATATGCATAATTATTTACGAAATTTTTTTTTTTGTTGATGAAACAAAAATTATTATAATTAAAAAATTAAATAATTTAATAATAAAATAAAATTAAATGATAATAAAAAGACAATAAAAAAAATAAAATAATAATAATATTTATTTTTTGTTTGTGTAAACATTTTTTATATTTAATATCAAAATTTCTTAAAAATAATTATAATAAATAATTATTTTTATAGATCTAAAATAAAATTATTTTATTTTTTATTATTTTAAAATACCCTTTTTTTTATTTTTTTTTTTATTTTTTTTATTTTATTTTTTTTATATTTATTAATAGTTTTGTTAGTATTATAATAAATATTAAAAAAAAAAACACACACATAACCACACACCTATAAAAATCAAAACAGATACGATAAAAAGTAATATAGATAAATATAGAATTTTTTATAGATCTTTTTAAATTTTTTAGTTTTAATTTTAATTTTTAATTATTGTGGCAATGAATGAAAAAAAAAAAAAAAAAATAGTTATTAATAATTACTAACAATAAAATATAATTTCTACTATTATGACACTAAACAAAAATAATAGGGTTATCAGTAATAGTATATATTTACCGAAACATTTACAAAAAGAAATAATTATATTTTATTGTGATCGAATAAATAGAGATTATCAAATATTTCATAGCCAAATACAGAAAGAAATAAATGAACAAAAAAAAGTAATTAAATTAGTTATCGCATTATCATTAGTTTGTAAAGAATTTTTAAAGATAGTTTCAAAAAATATAATAGTATCTATAGATTACTTAAATAGCATTGATTTATTTTATTTAAATAATAGTGGCATTGGTTATAATAGCAACAATAATAACAATGGCAATAATAATAGTTTTTTTTATAGATTAAATAATAACAAAGTACATATCCTTAAAATATTTTATTGTGCAGAGTCACTAAAGTTTTATGTATACGATAGAAATGATAGTAAATTATATTTTACGAAAGAGATGATAAATAATTATATAAGGGGGTTTCAAAATTTGAAAGTACTCTTAATTAGAAATTCCATTAGCGAAATTATACCATTTAACAGTAGTTTTTTAATTGATATAGAAAATACAATAAAATCATTTAGTAATAATAAAAATAGTTTAAAAATAAAGTTATACACCTTTCAAATTGATAGCGATACAAGTTTTCAAAGGATTTGTTTTTTATATTTAGATTTAAAATGTTCAAGCGATTGCTTGGTTGTTCAAGATTGTCAAAATAAAAACATAGCTATTTTATCAGTTTTGTTATTGATTCCATCTTTAAAGTCTTTACGGATTATCAACTATGGCTTCGAAAACTCTTTTCCTTTTTTAGAATTAACAGGCCTTATATCAAGTTCGCACAACTTTTTACAAAATTTAATAAATAGTTTTAAAAATTACCAGAGCACACATCAATTCCAACAGCTTTTAAATTATGTCAAAAAATTTAAAAATGATAACAATTTTATAAATTTAAATAGCTCCAAATTTCCCCAATATAATTATTTAACAAATATTAGAAACTATCAATTAGAATACAGAGATGGTCACGAAATTACAAAATCAATGTACTATTTATATTTGGTTTTAAAAAATTCATGCAGCTTAGAAAGCTTGCTATTTGGGTTTTGTATGAAATCTTTGGTCTATAACTTATCATCACAATCAGAAAGAAAGCAGTTCAAGTTATTAGATTGTCCATGTGGTTCAAATATGAATAACAGTAAAGATTTCGAGGCGAGTTTTAGGTATTTTTTTGAAGAGGTTACTCATTTATTTAAAGTTCAATCAAATTTAGAAAAAATAACAATACATTTCAATTGTTCAATTAGTAATAATAGTAGTAACAGCTATAACCATAGTAAAAAGCCAACAAAGACTTTTTTATATTTATTTGGTAAATTATTTTCCTCAATTCCAAATATAACAACCATTTGCTTATACGACATCAAATGCCAGTTGCTTATAGACAGTATACTATCAAATAATAAATCAATTAAAAACGTTTATATTTACAGTAGGGAATCTATACATTTAAATTCATTTATATCTGTAGTTAACAAATATAACCAATTAAAACTATTTATTGTTCAAAGTATACCAATACATTTAATCAACAACAACATAGAAAACCTCAACAACACCATCAACAATAATAACGATCATAGCAATGGTATATTATTTTTATATGATAGGGACATAAAAAAAAGAGATTTCAAATTTAAAATGCCAGCATACCTTTATTTTAAAGGTACAATTCATAACGACTATTCACCATATTTAAATATAGGTATTCTTTTTTTAACATTAGCTATTTTTAGATATCATAAATAAAAAATTATAATATAAAATAATAGTTTATTTTAAATTCTAGTTAAATAAAAATTAAATTTATTTAATTTCTTTTTTGTTCTATTTAAATTTCAATTTGAATTTTATTTATTTTTGCTATTGGTTTTAATTAAATGATAAAATTATTATTATTTGATTATTTTTTATTATTATTGTTTTAAATTGCTTTATTTCCAAAACAAAGCATCATTTTGTAATTTCTTTTGAAAATTTTCATACCACTTGTTAACGGTTGTCGCTGGCACCATATTTGAGGGTACACCGTCACCGCTGAAAGAAAGAATATAGTTTACTAAATTGTGACACATTTTATAAGCAAATTGTTTAAAATCTGTAGATTTGAAAATCATATTGTCGTTTAATTGATTCTCTATAACTTTGGCTTGAATCTCTTGATCATTTTCAATAGAGATACCTATTTGAATTGTATTTTTATCTTCTCCTAATGCCATGGTTTTATCCAATTGTTGAATAATTGTAAAAATTGATGATGGTTTAGTTTGGTTGAGAAATCCTAAATATTTCCATTCTGTAAAAGGTTTCCATGATAAATAAATTGCTGCATTAAATCCAATTGGGAAATTTACTCTATAAAAAAATAAAGAATTAATTAATTAATATTTACTTAAAATATTATTATTTTTATCTATTTTTACTTACGGGTCCATTAAAAAAATTGCAACGTCCTTTGCATCTGTTGCATTTTCAATTTGAAAAAAATATTTTGTTTGTGATATTGTTTGAACTGTTGTTTGAACAGGTCTTCCTCCTACTACATATCCAAACATTTTTAATATTAATTTTTTTTTAATTAAAGAATATTATTATATATAAGATTGGTTGATTATCGATTGCATAAAATTATTTTTTTTTATTTTTTTTTTATAGATATATTTTTAATGATTCTTTCGAATATTATAAATATGGCTAAATAAAAAAAGAAATTGTGTGTATTTGATAATTATTGTTATTTTAATATAAAAAATTAAAAATGAAAAATAAAAAATAAAAAAAATAAAAATTTTTTTAAAAAGTACTTTTTGAAATTATTTAATATTTTGCAATTTTACTTTTTATTTTTAAAAAATTATTAAGAAATTTTCCCCACTTTGGCGCAAAAATTCATGTAAAATTAAGATAAATTCCAATTATTTTTTGGCATTATCCAATTATAAATTTTAAAAGATTGATAGAATTAGAGTTAAAAGTATTATAAAAACCCAGAAATTATTTATTTATTAAATAAATAATTAAAACAATAAAATTTAGATAAATAAAAAATGTTTCTGTTTTATTTATTAAAAAATTGTTGATTTATTTTTTATTTTTTATTAAATATCGCTGGGGGCTAAATTTGGTTTGGAATTTAAATTTTCAACTTCTTTAATTAAATCTAGGTACCATGATACACACATATTCTTTTTAGTATTGTTTTCTAAATTACCAGTAAACTCGGTGAGTAATTCTTGACACAATTCAAAACGAATTTTTTGATTTGGTGCTTTAATAATTACTTTTTTAATTTCTGCTAAAACCAAATCTATTATTTGAATATCTAAATATAAGAATAGTGAATATAATAACTTTATCAAACTTTTTGCAGAGTTGTTTAATGATTGATTATTTGTTGGGTTTATATCTTTTTGTTTTTTAAATGAGTGATTTATATTACCTATATTACTATTTTTAGTTGTATTATTATTATTATTATTATTATTATTATCATTATTATTATTGATTCTATTATTACTTTCTAATAAACCATCTGTATGGTTCATATGTTCAATTGTATTTTGTACAATAGTTTTAATTGAGTATAATACTATTGGATTGGTTGGTGGATTACTTTCAATGATTGCAACCAAAACTTCATATAAAGATGATACCTTTGTGAATTTTGGGAAGGTCTTTAAAGCAGTTCTTAAATACATTGGCACCATTTTAATTGATAGATGGAAATTTGGAATCATAAATATTTTAGCCAATACAGAGTGTGATAAAGAATTAAGTCTACTATTTGGATACTCCATGTATTCGAATATATTTGGTACAATATGTTCAACTATGAGATTATGTGGGACACCTGGTATTAAAATATCTAGTGCATGTAAATATAATACGACTTGAAGTATGGCCACTCTATCATCTTTTAATACTTGATAATACAATGGCATCTTATCGATAACTCTAATTATTGCACATTCGGAGGTAAGTACATTCTTTGCTAATGCTCTAACTGCTTTGTTGATGGTTTGAATCTCTTCATCGGTACTAAGGAATGTTAATTTACAGAAAAGGTCAATGCCGGTAACACTGTCCATTGGGGTCAAAGCTGGAGAAATTTCGAAAAATAGTAATGATAATGATTGGAAAATTGCTTGAAAAGTTGGATCTAACGCTTTTCTTAACATTGATTTTGGAATTGGTGGTGATATTTCATTTACATAATTGGTCCACTTTTCATTTAAAGCGTATGTAAAATCACATAGTTTTAATAATACCAGTTTATTGTTATCATTATCACGTAGATTATTTACAAGTGAACTAATAGTTTGAATAAATGGTGGTATTCCTAAAAACAATGGTGTGGTTTTATGGGATTCGATCTATTAAATAAAAACAAGTTATTAATTTATGCATCATATAAAAATAATATAAAATAATGAGTAATTACCTTTTTAATTATTACAGCATTGATTTCGTTTGGCTTTTCTAACCAATTTACCAATGAACTATTAATTAATAAAATTTCATCTAATAAAACTTCTAGGACAATCATTAGAATTGATTGGTTTGCCTGCTTATCGGTGAATGGATCGATTGAGCTAAGAGAGTAGGCAGTTGCTAAACCAATTTTAAAAGGTTTTAAAAGAAAAGTATGTTGATTAACTAAAGTATAAAATAACTCTTGAATTTTGCCAATGACTTCTTTTTTTTCATATTCTGGAATTAATGAGCTACGTTTATTTCTTTTAATAGAATGAATTAGCGATGAACCAATAAACATGCAAAGGAATCTTGAATTTGTATTTGAACTATAAAATAAGCTATAAATTTCATCTGAAAGACAACGAATCCATGCTATCAATGCCATTGTTAACTCTTCGATGTTCGAGAAATTTTCTTGTTTGAATTTAGTGTTTATAACATTTTGTATAGTTTTGAATACTAAGCATGCATTTTCGATTGATGGAATTTGTGAATGTTTTTCCCATAGTGTAACTAAAATTTGGATCAATTCTGAGGTCTGTTCTAATGTTTGAACACCGATTAATGCGAATCCCAATGATGTTATTATTAATGATGATTTGGTAAATTCATTCAATAAGTCTGGGTACATTTTAATGGTTTTGATATATAATGAATAGCTTGTATCTAATTGTAGTTGATTTGGATGCTGGAATGGTGGTTGTTGTTGTGACTGCTGTTGAATTTTATATTGTTCGTCATCTTCGTCAAACAACGATATTGTAGAAGCTAACCATACCAAACATACCAAATGAAGTTTATCTGAATTTGGTGTTTTAATTTCAATTAATATTCTCTTGATTACCCCAATCCAATCCCTTAAAACTGATTGTAGTCTCTCTGGCTCGATATTCCACCAACATGATTCTAGATCGGTATACTTTTCTGATGTGTTTGGTAGTATACCTGAACAAATAGTTGCCCATGAAAATGCCAATCTCATACAGCAATCTAAAATTGTCATTGTATCATCTTGAGTTGAGGCTTCAATATTTGCTTGAGGACGGCCACCATTAATCTGTACACCAACAGAGCCTTTAATATTATTGCTTATTATATCTAAATAAAATCTACAACAATTTATTAAGGTGTTTATATTTTCTTCGGACCATGTAGATAATTTAATATTTCCCCTCTTTTGAATTGATGCCAATGAGCCTATATTTAAGAATACAATTTTTCTGCTATCTGCCAAATAAATATCAATCATTTTGAATTTTTGTTCATCACTTGGTATAGTTAACATTGATAAAATTGAACCATTATTTAATAAATTCTTTTGAAGTCTTTCTTGCTTAACCATTGGTGCCATTGGGGTATTTGGTGGTGTTTGTTGTTGTTGTTGTTGTTGTTGTTGCTGTATTTTTTGTTGCTGTTGTTGAAGGCTTTGTAATTGCTGAATTTGCTGTTGTGGTGTTAGTTGTTGTAATTGTTGTAATTGCTGTTGACTTATTTTTGCTTGAGATTTTTGTAATTGTTGAATTATTTGGATACGTTGTTGTTCAGCTGTTAGTTGTGGTGGTTGTTGCTGTTGTGGTTGAATTTGTTGGCTGCCACTACTTGAAGTTAAGAAATCACGGCCATTTAAATAAACTACTTCGAAAACCTCGTTAAAATAGACTTCTGTTGGTATAAGTTTCATTGGGTTTTCATAATTCCAATCTATGAATCTTAAAGTAACATGCATAATATTATCTAATAAAATTTCGACAGGTGGTAAATCTGAATATTCATAACTTGGTAACATGTGGATTTTTTGCCTGCATTCTAACAAAGAGTCTATAATGGATCTTGCATTCTCTCCTTTTGATAAACATAGTTTAAAATAAACTATTATTAATAAATATGGTACAATTGGTAATGATTTTGGTATTGGTAAATAACTAAAAATTAAGGTTTGTTAGAATAGAGTTCTTTATTGCTTTTAACATTATACATATACTTACTTTGGCAATACCAATGAGTCAATGTTACCTGAACTTAAAGTATATAATATATTACTAATTGATAATGATTTATTAAAGCATTGTAGTAAGTCACTTCTTTGTCTTAATAAATTTGGAATGTATAAATATGGGAATGATAATCTTCTTTTATCTAAAACTGGTTTAGAATTAAATTGATAAACAAACTTGGTACTATTATTACTATTATTATTGGATGATGGTTGTGTTTTTGGAGATTCTAATAAAAAATCATTTATATAAAAATATGGGCTTTGAAACTCTATAATTTTTAAAATTCTAAATAAACTTTTGATATGGCCCAGTCTAATATACTCTTTTAGTGTCCAGCACCAATACAATTCATCTCTTTTTGGTTGTGGTAAATTATTAATTCCGTTTAATTTTTCTTTTAATTTACTTTCTTTTTCTAGTTCATTATTATTATTATTATTACTAAAATTATTATTTTTACTATTATTTTCTTTTAATTCATTATTATTTGTTTCTTGATTTTCTTTTATTATATTATCATTATTACTATTATTTGAGATACTAGGTTTGACCGATGGTGGATATATACTATTTATGTGAGGTGTTGTAGTTATTTTATTATTTGGAGATGTGGATGAGGATGATGTTGGTATCTTTTCTCCTATAATTTTGTTATTATTATTATTTTGCATTTTCCTCTTTTTGAAGAAAAAAACAATAAAAAAAAAAAAATGAAATAAAAAAATTAAATTTTTTTAAAATTTATTTTTTTTTTATTTTTTTTTTAAATTATTAAATTTTATTTGGGTTTAAATATGCTATATTTAAATATTTAAATACTTTTCTAAGTTTTAATTATTATTACTATTATAATTTTAAATAAAAAAAAAAAAAAGAGTATAAAGGTAAAATAAAAATAGCTTTAATATATATAATAAATTTTAATAAATCAATCGTTTCTTATTCTAGATTTCATTAATAAAAAAAAAAAAAAACAAATATGGGGTAGTTTTACCAAACATATACACAACAAAAAAAAATTATAATAAATAAATTTTAAAAAAAAAAAAAAAAAATTTTTAAAATAAAAAACTATTTTTTTTTTTTTGATTTTTTTAATTTTTTTTTTTTTATTCATCCAATTTTTTATATTTTTTTATTGTATTATTATATCAGCTTATTTAAATTGTTATTCATCATTATTCTTCATTGTATTTGTAGCGACATCTTAAAAATAATAATTTAAAATAAGAACCATCACCTCTAAATATTTATTATAATAAATTACATAACCTTTTTTTTTTTTTGTCTTAATTTTTTTGCATCTATTTATTTATTTAATTTCATAATAATAATAATAATAATTATATAATAATATTAATAATTTTATAATAAAAACAATAATTTAATAAAAACCATGGAGTCAGGTGGTAATGTTGATAATATTAGTAATGGAATAGGAGGTGGCTCAAATTATGGATCATACAGTGCAGGATCACCGTTACCTTTACCAAACCTTCAAGATTTATTCAGTATCGATACTAAATGCCAAAGTCAATATTTACAATCAAAAATTAGTACCAATTATGATTCTGTTAAACAATCACTAAAAGAAGCAACAGAAAAAAAAAACTCATCAAAAATTTATACATCACTCCAAAATTTAACCTATTATAAAATAGAAAAAGATTTACTAGAAACCATTCTCCAAATTATAAATATTACAGATGATAAGAAAACATTACGTTTAGCATATTACTTTTTAGGTGAAATTTCACAATATAAACATTTAATTAATAACTCAGCCGTATGTAGTTAAAGAAACAAAATTAAATATATTAGTAAAAATATTAATCCATTTTTTTTTTTAGGAAATTAAAAATATACAAACAATATTTAATAAAGAAATGCAACATAAAGATATATCTAGAAAAGTAGTATCACTTAAAACCACAGCTTTAGTTGCACCAAATGATGTTTTAGTAGATTGTAAATATAATAAAAAAAAATAAAAATAATTATTTAAAAAAATAAAATATTAATTTTTTCTTCTTAAAAGCAAATATTTTGGAAACCATTTCTGGAATTTTAAGAAAAGTAGGTGAAGATGTAGATAAGACTCAAAAGAAAAAAGGATTTTTCTCAAGGGCAACATCAGATTTAGGTAGAGAAAGATCATTGTTACAATACTCATGTTTTGTAGCATGTAGAAATAGATTTAAGAACAACCCAACATTATTTATGCCAATCGTTGAAGGTATTAAATGTTCAGATCCAGTAGGTGCAAGACACTCAGTATCATTAACATTTGACTATGCGCTAGAGAATCCATCAACTGTTTCAGCCACAACAAAAAGATTTATTCCTCTTTTAAAAGCCAATAAAGGCAAAGAAGCAGTATATTTAGTCGACCCATTTGCAAGAAGAAATTTTATAAAGCTATGTGGACATTTAGGCACAACACCAGAAAATAAAGATTTCTTCCAAAGTATTTGTCAAAGTGTAATGGACTCTCATTTATCAGTATCATTTTGGGCAATTAGTACACTATGTAAATTTTCATGGCCAACCTTAGAATCTGCTCATATTGAAGCCATACAATATGATGCTGAAATGCCACACTATGAATCATTAGCATTCCAATGCTCATTGGTTGTTGGTATTTGTAATAAAATGAAAGCTGGGTTTTCTATTCACAGTGCTGGTGCATCGTCTTCTTCATCAAGTGTTATTGGTGGTAGCAGTATTGGTGCCTCATCATCTTCCTCTTCCTCATCTCAACAACAAATTTTACAACAACAACAACAACAGCAATTACAACAACAACAACAACAGCAATCCAATCCATTCCTTCATTTAGCTTGTAAATTAATATCAGCACTCTCTCAATCATTTGTAAAATATTCCTATCCAAAAGATCCAAAAACCCAACAACCAATTGTTGGTGATTGGAGTTTTGATGAAAAGCTTTTCAATAGTCAATCGGTCTATCCATATCATCATAATCAATCTCCATTTACTGGAACACCAGTAAACTATTTATCTGCCAATGGACCTACAATTCTTCAAAGCTCCTCCACTCAAGGTAATACAAATAGTGTTGCTCCAACTCAAAACAATGTTAATTTAAACTTACCAAATGGTATTACCTCTGCTAATATTACTGCTGCATCATTCCCAACATCAACATCATCATCATCAAAAGATACTCATCCATTTTCAAGTTTAACTCCATTAATTTTAAATCTTTTAAATATTACCCCAAGTATTTCAATTAGAATTCAAGCATTAAAAGCATTAGTTTGGTTATGTCCCTCCAATTTAGAGCAGTCAAAGCTTTATCTTGAAGCATTTAGAACTCAAATCCGTGATCCATATCATCCAACCCATTTATTTAAAGAACTATTCCTCGAACTTTACAAGAGAATCATTGCCTCACCAATACTCTCACCAATGTTATTAGCTCTTATTTACGATTGGATCGATATTATTCCATATAAAACAGATGTTAATTTAATCGTAGAAATTTGGAAAACCATTGTAGATTTTGGTAAAGTTGCAAGAGAGAAACTTTTACAATCAATCTTTAAGATTCTCGATCGTTCAGTACACCCAGACTTCCGTGTTGTTTCTCTAGAAATTCAAAAAGAAATTATTAAATTTTTAGGTGATTTTTCGAATACCATCACCTACGAAAACCCATATCGTTATGAAAGTATTAAACAAAATCGTTCAGGTGCCAATCAATCAAACTCAACCTCAAATATGTCTTTAAATTCAATCATTCTACGTCTCGAAGAATATGCTATCTTTAGTCCATGGCAAATTAGAATGGAGGCTGTAGATGCATTAGCCAAAATTGCTTTCCTCTCCTCGACTGTTGTAAAAATACACATCTATAACTTTTTAAATAGTGCACCAAATGAATCCCATGGTTGGACTTGCGTTAAGTCAAATACCTCAATCATTATCAATACAATCGATCAACTTTTAACACTTAGAGCCAAATGGTTACCTCAATTAAAAGGCACCTCGTTATCAACAAACCAAATTAGAGAATTAAAAAATGATCATACAAACCTTTGTTTACAAATTGGTTTGTTCTTTGATCAACTATCTTCCGACTATTTACCTCTAGGTATCGAATCTAAAAATTTAATTTTTTCAAAATAAAATAATAAATTAAACAAGAAATTAATAATTTAGATTTTATAATAATATAAATAAAAAGTTAATAAATCTAAAAAAAAAACTATAAACAATATTAAACAATTTTTTTTTTTTGTTGTAAAATAATTAATAAAAATACTTTATTTTATTATTTATATTATTTTTAATAAAATATCTTTTTATATTATATGTATTATATTTATTTATTTATTCGCTTAGATTTTTTGTGATAAGGCGTATTGTTCGAAATTTGGGAAATTAATTGAACCTAAACCTGAAGCAGCATCCCAACCTTTTTGAGCTGGGAAACCATATTGGCAACAGTAAGCACGGTTACAGTTGTTATCACCAGAAGTAATATCGTTGAAAACATTTGGTTGTTCAGCAGCAGCTTGGTATAATAATGGATTTAAGAAACCTAATTGGCTTGAACCAGCGTTTAAGAGTTTATCGTTAATTAATGAAATGATACCAGCAGTTGTTGGACTTGAACATGAAGTACCATCAACACCACCCATAGTACATGGACATTGGTCTGAGGTTTGGGTAGTTGGATAGGCAATTTGGTAAGCGTGACCAACAAGGGTAATATCTGGGTAAGCTCTGTTTGATGAGTTGAAGGCAAATGATGGTGGTAATTTGCTGTTGCCACTGCTGAGGTAAGAAGCGACGGCTTGAGCTTGGTATGATGGTTGTGGTTGTAAACTAGCGAAACCACCTCCACCAGTAATGATAGCACCGGTATCAGTTGAACAAACAATTTCTTGGTTGTTGGTAAGAATTTGAGTGGCACCAACTGAGGTAACGTATGGTGATGAGGTTGGGTAATCTGGGAGTAAAACTGAGCCACCGTTTTGGTTGAAGGTGTAACCAGTAATCTTGAAACCTAAATCTTTGTTTGAAAGAGTCTTTAATTTGTTGCATTGACATTTAGAGTAAATGTGGTAGTTGCCTTGGGTATCACTTTCGAGGGTGGTACCGCATGAACCTGAGTTTGAGCTGATGAATTTGTTGATGGCATCAGCATATTCTTGGCTTTGTAAAAGTTGTTGGCATGCATTACTACCTGAACCACCTGGGAAATAACAGTTGGTACCATTTGAAGTGGTAATGGTGATTGAACCACAGCTAGTTGAAGTATGTTGACAACCACCTAATGGGCAGTATCTGTTGTAATCGAGTGGACAGTTACCTGAAGCACCATAATATGATGGAGCACCATCATCACCTGAACTGACTAAAATTGACATACCAGCTAAACCGAGTTTTTGGAATTCAGTGTTGGTTCTTTCGATGTAAACAGCTGAATCAATACCAAGAGTATTACAATCGTTGGTAAGTTCACATTGTTCGATTTCAGCCCAACCATAACTGATTGATGAAACTTTTGGTAATGGGTTGTACTTTTGAATAGCAGTGGCCCAATCTAAAACCCATTCACCATTACCTGATGATAAGAATAAAGTTGAAACATTGTTACCAATAGCAGTGATATATTGGATATCTAAATCTGATTCCATTTGGTCACAACCACCTGAGATACAATCTTGACCAACACGGTTAACACGGACAGTTGATGGATCAATGTTGAATTGTTTATCGAAATAAGCAAGAGCACCAACAGCAAAGTAATCTTGGAAGGCAGCAATTGATTGGTAGTTTTCTGGGTTAGTTGAAATTTGGTTAGCTGGGATACCGTAGAATTTCTTGATGAAAGCTGGGGTAATGGTGGCTGAAGCAGTTTCGACTTGTTTAGCAGATTGTCTCATTGATTGTTCCATACGACCATCTTCAATAAAGTCAGTTAAACCTAAAATGAAGTCAACTTTGTTTGAAATGTGGAATGGGACTGAAGCAGTACCAGTAACTCTAACTCTTTTTTGTTGACTACGTGATGAGATGTAGTGAGCAAATTGGGTATCGAATAATTTTGAGGCTTTGAATGATGAAGTACGAACTTGAATAACATTTGAATCAAGAATGATTTCATTTTTTGAGATGTGGTTATCTAATAACCAGTTAATAACTTCTTTGACATCTGATGAAGCTGGAGCAACCATGGCATTAACATCTTGAATGTTCATAAATTTACCATAGTATTCAGATTTTGGGTTTGAAACTTCCCAGAATTTCTCTTCTAATAATCTAAGGTTATTCTATTTTTATTTGAAAAATAATTAATAATTAATAAATGATTAAAATTTTAAAATTTCCCTTTTTTTTTTTTATTTTTTTTTTTAATTTTTTTTTTTTCACATACTTGTTTTAATAAAATTTTGAATTGAACAGATTCGTTTGGTAAAGTGTTGTGAAGTTGAACAAATTGATTTGGAGCTGATTCAACATTAGCAATATTTACACGATTTAATCTAAGGGCTGAGGCAAATGCAACAATGCATAATACCAATAAAACAATTGAGAGTCTCATTGTTATAAAATATACAGATAATAATTAAATTTCTGTATCTTAAAAATATGTAATATAAAAAAAAAATATGTCCTAAATTTCTCGTTTTTATATTTTTTTTTTTTCGTAAATCCTAAAAAAAAAATAATTAAAAAAAAAAAATAAAAAAAAATAAAAATCGCACTTTTCCATCTATTTTTCGCTTGCCAACAGTTTTATATGAATTAAGGGTCATATCAAAAAAACAAAAAAAATTTGATAAAGATGAAGGTTGAAAAAATTGAAAAAGATTAGTTTTACGTCATTGAAAACCATAACAAAAAAAAAATCAATATAATTTTATAAAGAATTGTTAATATCTAATTTTTTAATATTTCTCGGTGGAATTTTCTTTTTATTATTATTTTTCTTAAAATTTTATATATATAATTTTCATAATACTCCGCACATTCCCGAAAAAAATAAATAGAAAAATAGATTGATTTCTCTAATTTCATGTAAACTAGGAAAATTATAAAAAAACAAAAAAAAAAAAAAAAAAAGTTTTAGAATAATAGGAAGAAATATCTTATTAATAATTCTTGTTTTTTTTTTTTTTTAAAAATTAATTTGGTTTGCAAAAGATTGGAAAAATCCTTGGAAAAAAAATAAAAGTATTTTTAATTTTTCAAAGATTAATTTTTAATTCATAAAACTATTTCCCAAAAAAAATAAAATAAAATAAATAAAAATAAAAATAAAAATAAAAAAAACAAAAACAAAACCATTTTTACAAAAATAGTAATTTAATTTTTGTGAATGATTTAAAAAAAATAAAATAGTTTGTTACAAAATGTAAATTAATTTATTATTTATAAAGAAATAAACTATAATATCTATTTTAAAGATAAATATTTATTTAATTATTCATACATTGGAAAGGATTATTTGGTTATTATTGTTTGTTATTGATAAGTTTTATGGTTTTAGTTGTGATTGTGGTTATAGTTGCGATTGTGATTATGGTTGTGGTTGTGGTTGTGGTTGTAGTTGTATTGTTGATTTTTTTAATGTTTAATCTAATAAATTTATTAAAAAAAAAAAATTATAATTGTATTTGTTTGTTTATTTTTGAATGTTTTTATATTATCTTATCGTTTATAATAATTTTGGGAATTGACGATTGCCAATGTAACCACCACGTAACGATTGTCTAACGTTTTGTTCAAAGCTCTTCTTATTATCAATCATTAATTGAGCAGCATCTATAGATAAAAAGAATATGGGTTAGCATTTAATAAAATAACCTGCAATATTCAAAATATAAAAATCATACCTTTATTTAATGGGTCGTTTGGATTTGGTTCTAAAAATAATGTCATTAAACCAAAAATTACAGTACCTATAGTAAAGCTTGTTATTAGTATTAGGTAAATAATATAAGTCATAATAATAATAATAATAATAATAATTACCAATATTTAATACTGGTACCCAATCTTGTCTTAAAATGTTTAAACAAACATGACCTTCAAGATCTATGTTTGGATGATATACAAGGGTATCACAGTGAACCTTTGGTGGATCATATGGATAGGTTGATGGAATGTTAATGGTGAATTGGAATGGGGCACCTTGATAAAGACCATCAGTTGGTGTAATGGTTAAGTTGAAATTTAAAATATCATTGCTATCTTTGAATGACACAGTGCAACCAAGTGGAACTTGCATTTCATCAATATCTAAAATAAAATAAAATAAAAAATGTTAATAAATTTTCATCTGAAACAAATAGTTATTGGGGGAAATTATATACAACAAAAAAGTGTGGTGTGAAAATGAAAAAAAATATATTACAAATATTTAAAATTTTAATATTTACCTTTTTGAGCTCTTAATTCTGCTGGGTTAGCTCTTTTACCTGAGGATTCTGATGATTGTTTAGATTTTAAGGTGAAGTAGCTATCTTTTGATTTTTGTTTTCTAATTTCTTTCAAATCATTAGAATTTTGTCTCTTTACTTCATTTGGATCGGTTGTGGTTGGGGCAGCATTTTCTGTACCATTTACTGGTGGGGCTTGTTGTTGCTGTTGTTGTTGTTGTTGCTTTTTTTGTAATTCCTTTAATCGAAACATTTTATATTTATTGACACCTTTTTCACTATTTTTTTATTTTCTTTTTTAATTTACAACTAAAATTAATTATTTTTGGTGTATGTAATAATTTTTAATATTTAATTCTACTTGTTTAAAATATTATAATACTATTTATATCTATAAAAATAAAAATTTAATAAATAATAACAAAATAAAAAAATTTTAAAAATTTAATAAATATAATTTAAAAAAAAAAAATTGAAAAAAAAAAATTTTTAAAAAAAAAAAATCAAAAAAAAAAAAAATTAGAAAAAAAAATAAAAATAAAAATAAAATAAAAATAAAAATTATAGATATAAATGGATTATAAAAGAAAGAAAGAAGAATTTATTTTTAAAAAATAAAATATACAAATATTTTACTTTTTTGAAATACAATATTTGTTTAGCATTTCCTGCCAACGATTTCCTGAACCCTATTTTTTTTATTATTGTGTTTGCATTTCCAATTTCAATTTGGAAACCAAACCTGTTTCATTGTAAATTTATTTTAAAAAAACCTAACAAGGGAACAATGGACCAAAGGTTAACCTTTTTGGATCTTTTTATAATATTAAAATAATAACACACACAAAAGTATTTATATATAGGCTATTTTATTTTAAAATTATTTTTCATTACCAAAAAAAATAAAAATAAATTACTCTAATTTAATTTGTCACACACCTTAGCCATTTTTTTTTTTTTTTTTTTTTTTTTTTTTTTTGTGATTTTATTTGAAAAAAAAATAAAAAATTTTAAAATTTTTTAATTTTTTTTTTATATTTTTTTTAAATTTATTACTTCCACTTTGATCAATTTTTTTTTTTTTTTTTTTCACACAGTAGCAGTGTATAGTGTATGTAATATCAGGATAAACATATTCCAATATTTCGTTAATACAATTGAAAAAAAATAATAGAAATATAATATCAAAGTTTATTATTTTTATAATAAATAAATCATTTAAATAATAACATATTTAAAAAAATAAAAATAAACTAAAAAAAATAAAAATAAATCCAACCACACAATACAAATATTTAAAAATATCATAACATTAACCCACAACAATAATATTTTATACATAATTCACAATAAAATTATAATAAAATAAAAAAACAAAAAAAAAAATTTATTAATTAAAATTTTTTTATTCTCTTTCATTATAATCAAATAACTATAATTGTATAACTAAATAATCATTTATATGATTAATTTACTAATATTATAAATTATAACTATAGAACTTTATTTTTTAGTTTTGGTTTCTAGGAATATATTCATATTTGGATTATTTATAGCAATCAAATAAATTTATTTGTGTGATTAATATTCAATTTTATTCTCCTTAATAATCGAGTTGTGTAAGTAATCAAATAAGAAAAAAAAAAATTACATCGATGTTATTAGTTTTAAAACTATAATTGTATTATTTTTATCATTCCTATTGCTACAAAATAAAAATTTTTATATAAAACATAACCAAATATAATAGTTTGTAAATATAAAATAATAATAATAATAATAATAATAATAATAATAATAATAGTATTAATAATAATATCTTTAAAACTTCACATAATAAAATTTTAAGATACTGCGGCATCTTTATAAACACAGATATCTATACACATAAATACATAAAAATCTATATACCACATTTTTGTTTATTTTAATTTTTAAAATTTTTTTATTTAATATATAATAAAAAATTATTTGTTTTTATAATTCCCCACATATTTTTTTTTTTTTTTCAATAATAATTTTATTTTGTAACTTAGTTTTTTAAAAAAAGTAATTATAAAAAAATCACCTTTGTTTCATAACACAAAAACCAGTTCGTCTTTTTAATTTTGTTTTAGTGTTAAAATTAAAATATTCAAAAAATAAAATATTCAAAAGATAAAAAAAAATATTAGAAAATAAAAACAAGCTTAGGTGGTGAAGTTATAACAGTTTTTAAATATTTATTTGAAACGATGATCGATCAAAACCAACCAAAAACAACATGCTATCACCCCTTTCCAAAACAACCCTTCACTCTTCGTCATTCATAAAAAAAATTTCAAAAAATATTTAAGTTTTTTTTTTCATTAAAATATTTTTTTTTTTAATTATTTTGGAAAATTTTGGTTTTTTTTTTTTTTTTTTC